ATATGGCAGCAACAAACTCTGGCAGCGCTATCAGCGTGCTGCCATTTGAAGACTCACCAGAGAATTCTCGCTGTGTTGGTCGACAAATTAACCCTATTCCTGGCGGGCTCCGCCGGGACAAGAAACTGGCGGGGGGGCCGATTCGGCCCCCCCCTGAGATCTCGAGAACGAAGCAAGATAGCGACAAGCGGTAAACGGCATCGGATACGCACGGCCAAGATCTACAATTTTTACTAAGGTCATTTTCAGGTCAGGTCAAAGATGACGTCACAGGGGTCGAAAAAGTCAAAATGGCGGCGCTAGATATGGAGAGTTTTTCTCGAATAACTTTCGAATTAGTCAAGATAGGAACAAACTAAGGGCATCATCGTGATCCTCTCGTCAATCCGCATCGAATGATATATATATATATATTGACCTCGAAAGGTCAAGGTCAAAGGTTGACCTCAGGTCACGTGACCTCGAGGTCATCATGTATATCATTCGATGCGTCTTGACGAGCTGAACACAATGAGACCATCCACGCGTCTGTATCTTGTTCCTGTACGGAGTTATTGGCCAAAAACCTTTGGTGACCTTTGATGACGTCACATGACCTCACAGCTGCCCAACAGTAAAACAGACCTCAAGGTAGTGAAGGTTGATCATATATGAAGTCATGTATGGTATATGGGGCCATTCCGACCCGTTTTAGTGGTAAAAACAGGGAGTTGATTTTTCTCCCATTGACTTATAATGGGGAGGTCGCGAAATTGATCTGACCTTAGGTCACCGATATCAAAATTCCGAGATATACAAATTGCACATACTGGTACCCTAACTAAACCCTGAAGAGAAGAAATTAATCGGTCAAAAACTCTAGCTCTGGCGTGATTGCAAACTTTTCTGAGGTAGGGTCACAAAACCGCCTCTGGTGACCTGACCTGAGGTCAGATCAACTCAAAATTTTCAGACCTGTTGCGTAGAAGCCTTTTAGGAAAAGTCAGAAAATTTGAGCTTCCTAGCTCAACGCGTTTGGGAGAAATAACCAAAAAACCTCAGGGGGGCTCCTGAGGCGCCCCCCGCCAGGAATAGGGTTAAGGGCGAAAGTCTGAAGATACTTCCCATTTTTCTTCAGTTCTCACTTCGAGCTCCATTTAGCCTAAGCCGGACCCGCAGAGCATGGTGGCGAACAAATCTGACCCAGTCTAATAGATCGTAAGAAAAATCATTACCTTGGCGTCATGAGGTGATAACCAGCGAACTTTGGCACTCGATGAAGTTCAACATAATAGATAGCATGCCATCAATAAGGGAGGCTGCAACTGTGATGTTTAAGCTGTCTGCTGTGCTAGGTGTGAAGTGAAAGCGATGAGACGTTTCCTTTCAATAAATCCGGTTCTAAGGTTATATCATTTTCGCACACAAAAACCATCTTAAAAAACACACACACATTTGATTTTGTTTTCCCCTCAAACATTTTGCGATATCTTAGTCTGGTTGTGCCTTGCAAAGAGAAAAGAGAGAAAGGAGAGAGAGAGAGAGAGAGAGAGAGAGAGAGAGAGAGAGAGAGAGAGAGAGAGAGAGAGAGAGAGAGAGAGAGAGAGAGAGAGAGAGAGAGAGAGAGAGAGAGAGAGAGAGAGAGAGAGAGAGAGAGAGAGCAGCGGAGGCAGTTAAGCCAGCAAACTCTTACTCTATCGTTCAAGGGTAACTTTCAGACACATCAAACGCCCAGATACGGTAATGGAGCAAATACCTAAATGTCCAATTATTGTCCCTTGGCTCTCTTGCCACTTGGTTTCTCTTTTCACAATTTTCGGATATTCTGCAGTGGCATAGTATACAACAATATCATTAGGATTTTTAATAACGGTCCTGAAGCATCCCGCACTCATATCTCGATCTCTGTCGCTAGATGGCAGTGTAAGTCGACGCCTGATGCATACTGTGCCGCATGGCTTTCATTAGTTCCAAAACTATCCGCCAGAGGTCCACAAGTGGCCAGTCTTCATCCACCCTTGGAATGCAAGCGCGTTGTCACTGGCAGATTTGAAAAGTGATTTGACGCTTGGGAACTTTCTCCTATAAAAGGGTCCTCCATTAAAAAACAACCGTCGTATCACGCATCCTTTCGCCTTGCTGTAAAAATAAATATACGAATACTGCATGGGGGAGCGGGCAATAGCAAAAAATATTGCCCGATGTGACGTCACTGTCGCCCGAGGGTGAAGACCGAAACAGGTGCTATTGCCCGAGGCGAAGCCGAGGGCAATAGCACCTGTTTGCTGCCCGAGGCGAAGCCGAGGGCCAAGAGATTTTCTTGGCCCTATTTTCAATACAATTATTAGCATGAGGCTTAGGGTTTTCATTGCATTTATATATATTCTACTGATTTAATCACATTTTTAGTGCCCTGAGCCCTGCGCGATGAAAATAGCTCATCCAATTCACGCGGCTCCAACAAATTAAATCGGGGTATTTGAACGGACATGTTCAAATGACGGCCCAGTTCTTGATGACTTGACTAGCCAATCACGAAATCAAACTGAACAGCAAGCTGAACAGTCTGAGAAAACGACGATAAGATTACGACATTTGAATTTTTGTTCAAACACCACTGCGCGAGCAACTTACTATTGACCGTTGACATGGCAACCGCTTCTCACCTTCAGAAAGGTCAGTAACCTGACACTGAAAGGTCAGTAACCTGATGCCGGGCAATAGTAAAAAATATCTCATGCCAAATTAACACAGGAGCCATGTAATAAAACACACTTGAATAGAAGTTGTTAATCTTCTTTTCAATCGAGGAGAACGCTGACATTTCGTCGATTTAGGGCGCAGCGGGCGGTAACCCTTATTAATTCCCTAAGCCCTAATTAGTTTCCCAAGCATCCGTCATTGCGTATTCCAAACCTATACCTGTAAATGTTTTGTAAATATTTCACAGCTTGGGCTGGAAAAACTTCAAAGTTTTCTAGAAATTGCACTGCCTATCAAGCAGATAAGTTTTGTGCTAGGCTCGCAATGCTTCTAACGTTACATCCTCTTGAGTGGCCTGATGGCACATTCCGTTTCCATTTTCGTCATTTGCCACCATTCGCCATTCTCTTTTGTTCAAACGATTCAGCGCATGCTATATGCATACTGCATAGTATCGGGATGCTTCATGTTTGATGTTGATGATTGATATTCGTCTGGCATTTTCATGATAATTGTTTTTTTTCCAAGTAATATAGCGCGTTATTATTTAATTAAATTCCTTTCATTGGGCGTTATCAAGCCCAGCCACACTCATTCATTAGTCTATTCATCTGCAAGTGAATGTGTAATTTTGAAAGTCTGCTTCCCTATTAACAGCGGTCTTTGTATTTCATGCCGGAAATAAAACCTTTCCTCCCCTGAAAAAGGCCGCAGGAAGTGGTTTTAATTAGCGGGCATGACGGTACCTCACGATGACCATATATTAGGTAGGTGCCAGTTAGTTGCGTCTGCGACAGCTCCAAAGCACCAAATAAAAATAATTAACCCGTTTGGCACCAGCCTTGGGTACCATATGACACTCGCACCGGCTGTCCTTGTTTTAACCTGATAACAATGCGTACTGCGAAATATTTGTAGAAGTCTTAACTTCATAAAGATTCCGCAGCTTTATCACAACTGGAATTGTTTGTATGACGTCTTATTATCACCTCATCAACCTTATGCTTCCACCGAGACTCCAGTCCCCGGCACGGCCGCGTCACATTCGCACCCAGTTCTCTCCTGAGATGCCGCCATTAAATTCAATCGGTCTCGCTCGAAGTTTGGCTGGCGGCTGTGTTTACTTGGGGCGGTAGATTGGATTTACATGATTCTACCACCCCGAGAAGGGCCGAGCGCCGGTCCGTGTGGGGAGCGGTCACGGCCGTTCCCCTGGGCATTGGGGACGGATGGGGAGAGGACAGGCTGCGTCGAATAGGGTGTCATCTGCACTGTAGACTGCACTGTTCCAGCACAGTTATTATTCGTTATACTAAGCTACCATAGAGTGAGACGCTGGGAAGTTGTATCCTGTAAAGTAACCGGAAAGGAAATAAAAATTGACTAGATTTGCTATATCTTGCTATACCTAATAATTCAATGGCAAAACTGATTACCCATGCTTGTCAGTTTTTTGATTTTGTTATCACTATCCACTGAACATTCATATTGCAGAAGCTGATGTCCAGCCACCTATTGTGGCTCAAGCCAGATGGCCGACCAGCATTCTTCTGCTGACCTAACTAACTATCTTTTCAGCACCTCGCAATTAACAGTTGTATAAACACTCCAGTGACCGGCCAGCACTCTGCTGGTGAGCCAATCAGCTGACCGGCCAGCACCTCGCTGCTGGTCTAACCAGCTGGCTATGCAGCAACTCGCTGAGCTGAGTGCTGATATAGGTATTCAGGTGGTCAGACAGCTCCCGGCCGCTGACCTTACCATGCTGACCAGCTCCTCAATGGTGATCTAACCAGCTGTCACGCCGCCGTCCACTGCTGATCTCACCAGATGACCTGTCAGCACCCCGCTGCTGACCTAACCAGCCTCCAACCAGTCTGATGAAATGCCGACGCCCTCTGTGGGAAGGCTCCCCCGCTGCTAGCGGTGCTTGTTAGTGAGCCGGGATTCGCCGACCGGCTCTCGGCTCTAACTGACGCTTGTTAGTTGGGTCTGCCCGCTGAAATGCCGCCTCTTCCGAGACCATCATGACAGCTGGGTTGGGTTCCTGTGTCCTGTGTGGTCCCCTGCCTGCACTCACGTCGACTCCACCACGTCGACACGTCGACTCCACTCGTATGTCGTTTCATACGACAATTACACCCAGATATATGAAAAAAGTCAATGTTCATTGCATACATATTTGAGTCGGAGGCTGAGCGCGATTTGTGTTAGAATTTGGCGCTGATATTTTCTGCTCCGATGCCAATGGATCAGCAGTGCATTATTCTACGATGTTCATCGTTAGTAAACAATTATCGATTTAAGAGCTATTTTTTTTTCCTGTTCCTTACAGATAAAACGTATATTGCATCTTTCAGTAAATTCTTCTCACATCCTTACACAGCTATGCCCGCATGTGATGAACTCAACAATATCGCAACAAAATAAAAAACGCATAACGAGGTATAATGATTTTGAAAAGCCTTCCTTGCCCATACCACATGTGGATATTATGAGCATACAACAACCTTGTTTTTATTAGTGTGATCGATTGCACGAATCTTATGATGATAAATAATTTACCTTAGGCATGTGCCTGAACTGTTAGGTAAAAGCAAATTGCACACAGAATGCAGCCGATATAGCCAATATCTGTAGTAAAATGTCCGTTTGTAATGCGATTTACTTAGTGCATTCGCAGTAGGTAATGGACCGCTGTGCACTATCAAGCAGCAGCAGGACGACCAGCACTTAAAGCTAGTCACGAATCAAGGTCCGCACTGACGTCATCTCACATCCTATTCCTAACACATATATACTCCTCCATACGGAAGAGATCTGAACAATGAAGTATGAACCGTTCAATAAGCACGGAGCATCTGCGTTTACTCTTGAAGCGACCTGGGAGATGATACATCTAACTATCGTCGCTATCTATCACAAAAAAACGCACGAGAGGGCCGAATATGAATCTCACAGATATTCCAAATATTCATAGGACTTTGCCTGTAAAAGTGTGCCCTACGACTTCACTGAGTCGCTTTGTGAGCGTCCTGCCTGACCGGTCTGACCCTGGCTGCCTCCTTCTTCCGGGTAGACTAAAGGGTAGTCTAGCCTGCGGAGGGCGTCTGCGCACACCTTTTCGGCTTTCGTGCGCTCTGCCCGTGGTAGCTCCTTCAGCCAGTGTAGGCCATCGAAGTCAGCAAACCGAAACGTCCCGTAGTAGCCGTTAAAGTCAACCCCGTGCTTCCAGATCGGCTTCCTCGATGACCGTCGATGGCGTCTGGTGATCACCATAGGAAGCTTTGGTTCGGTTTTTAGCCGCTGGACGTCTCTGTCAGCGGCTGGAGGTGCGGCGTCTCGGCTCAGTAGTGAGGTCATCGACTGTTTCACGCTGGAGTAAAGCCGTTGAATGGGATTCAGCAGCTTGGAAGGTGACGGGTCCTTGGAGCTGTGGATGGAAGGAACAGTCTGTCATCAGCAATTCAGCATTCTTCAATTAGATGGTGTGATTGAACTACTGATGAATAACGAATCAAGTGGGTATGAGGGTACCTAATCGCGGGGCATGTGCCTACCTAGCTAATGCTTTATTTGGATATAAGTAGCTTTCATTTTTGCACTAACCCGTTCAAATCATTTTAAATAGGTTGCCAACTGGAAACTAAGAATGCTAGCATGGGTGAGTAGGCGTCGGCCAAAACAAAGCACAAATATAATAAATCGAAAGTGGATTGAGTTTTATCGAAATTCAGCAATATAGGCAAGAAGTTAGGAACCCATTAGAGTAAAAACCAATATTGTTCGCAAACATATACGACGAATGTTTAGCTGACATCGCTCATATGGCAATAGCCATATATCTTTCTGGATATTCCACAAACCTTTTGGTGTGCTTGCGTATGAACACTTTGACCTCTGGCGTCATCGTCATCGACAAGGTGGACAATATGAATGTCGTAGTCTGGCAGCTGAAAGACACGCGAAGGTGAGACAATGCTGGCGGTGTTTTGATTTGCCTTACGGGCTGATTTGTTAATTGTTACATACGACATTCTTTGCTATATCGAGTTGCTTGGTGTTGTAAAACGCTTTTCACAATTCATTGAATCTAAAGGAAGGCTAAGTTTATTTTGTACATTCGATCAGAAATGTTCATTTCAATAACCGAAAACGGCCTAAAACTTTCATCTGGCACTACTGCAGGCACGACTCACCTCTAAGAGCGGTAGCAAGGCACCTAATCCAGGTCGAATCACCTTAGCCACCCTGAGATCAAGTTCAAGACACCAAGACCTGCGCTGGCTCTCTGTAACGATCGGAGCAACTTTGGGCTTCTTCCAAATCATGAGCTTCAGCGACTCATTGAACATCTGCTCTTCGAACCTGTAAGTAAAATGTGAATAAACGTCACTGCTGCTGCACAGTAAATCTGCATTGCCATACTGGTCGCTCCCCAATGCCATATGGCGCCGTGAAGCATCTCCAACTGTCATTCGAACTTGTTGTTTTTAGTCGCTGTGAAGTTCGCATCAGCTTTTTAATTTTTCCATTTTCTGTTTTTGCTTATATACCGTGGATCGTAAAATATGTAGGTATGTTTTTTTGCAAAACGGCATCAGAAAGCCACGTACAGCACACTAAAAAGTGTAGGTATGCGTATTAATAAACAGTACACACTATACATACCTACACTAGCACAATGTGATAAGTGGTTACAACTAAACACGGAAAATTCCTATCAAGCTTTGATGCTACATGGAATTGTCCTTTTATCACTTAGCCCTCGCACGACCAGGCCATTTCTCATAACACGAACGACCAAGGGGGGGGTTGTTACGACCCCCCCTGGCGTTTCGAAACGGAAGGTCGTAGAGCTTAGCGGAAAAAACCAACGGATTGCTCTCAACGAGATCTCGCGATTGGTGGTATATTTTTTGGTCCTAGGTCAACATTTGACCTACTTTTGACCGGTCAAAGGTCAAATTTTCGGAAAAATAGACTTTTTTCAACTTTCGGCGGCGATTGCGGCAAAACGGTGGGAAATATCGACTTGAAACCTTCACTATCGTGTTCCTTGATCAATTTTCTATCGTTTGGTATGTATTTCGTTTCCCTAGCTCTAAAAATGGCGCGTTGGGAGCGCCGGAAGTCGGCAAGGTCACAGTCGGCGGCAGAAATTCGAAAAATCAAAATTTAAATTTTTGAAATCTGATTGTATTTTTGGATTTGGTAGGTCCATTTGCTCCCTATAGAAGCTAATATTGCTGCATATTCCCATTGAGGTGACAAGAATTAGCAAAATAGTGGTTCGGGCGCTTTTCAAAAATAGTACCGGACGCTGTTCCTCTTGTGACGTCATAGCTCCGTGACCTGACCTGACCCGGTCAAATTTCTTATACCATATGATAGCCAATACTTGCCCCAACATGCATGGGAAGTTTCATCACGATCCATCAACCGATGTCCGTACCACCGGCAGGAAACCTCGGGCGTTGGCACTCAGTTTGTGAAAATCCGGCCGGAGGCTGTACCTCTTATGACGTCATAACTCCGTGACCTGACATGACCCGATCAAATTTTTTTCGGCAAAAGATGCGCAAAGGTTGCCCCAGAGGGTATGGAAAATTTCAGCCCGCTACGACAAGCCGTTTAGCGTGCACTTCGAAAAAACCTCAGGGGGGGGGGTTGATACAACCCCCCCCCCCCCCTAGGCGTTCTAGGGTTAGTTTGATGGACTAGGTACGTACAAGATAGCACAGTGCACTAACAGGCATATCTCTTACTGGCACGTGAGAAGTCTCAGAAGCTCCTGATGAACAAAGTCTCTGGTCTGTCGGTCGGGCGATAGATGCGACTCCTTATGGACGGGGTGGCCGACTAGTTGAGCGTAGTGCAGTGGTTCATAGAGGTACATTGAACCAGCAGGACTGGCCAGGAGCTCACCTGTAGGAGACATGTGCTCAGTGTTGAAACAGCAGCTCTAACAGTGCCAATGCTTTGCATAATTCATGCACTGTGTGGCCAACGAGGATGTCGGGATTCAACATATGCGAGATTCAAATGGCATATTTATCACAGTCGGTCTATCGGCACCAACACGGTGAACAGCACATCAGCGGGTCACAAATATTTTGCATAACGTTAATCTGGAAATATTCAAAAGACGGTCAAAACCATCTGCATCACCACCCCGCTCTTTGACGGTGAAACATTTTATATGTGCAACTGCACAGTGTGCACTATGTACCGAGCAAGCGGAATACTGTAGACTATACTTCTATTGTTAGAAGCATGCATAAGCGACATGGTTATCGTCAACTAAATAGTAGGACGGTAAGCTGAGTAGTGAGTATTGTTACGGTATGTGGTGTATTAGAGGAACTCACCGAAGAAGCTGGAGCCGCTGCGAGGGTTCGATGAGTAGAGTACGACCAGTCGCGGTTTACTCGTGGAGCCAGCGTCTGCTGCTGGGGGTGGGTCCGCCTCCGCAACTGGTGTGGAGTCCAGGCTGGTGCCGGCTGGGCGCAAACGGTGTGGTGCGGCCAGTTCGAAGGACTATTCTCGGCTCGGACCGACAATGAAATGTCTAAATTGAATCGTCAGTAATGGTAAAGTTACAAATAGATATGAACTCTGAACTAGAATAATCATCCAAAGGAAGAAAACAGATGGAGAAAAACAGATGATGTAGAAATGGTGAGGGTAGGTTTACCTATCATCCTATGTATCACTAAAGAATGATGCAACACATCCGGAATACCCACGCCAACCTGTCTCATCAAGTGAGCAGGTTGGTGTCGACATCTACATATGTATTGGAGGTCCTCTCCCAAAAACACCGCGCCGAGGACGGCCATCGATCTCCTGTGGCACACTAACCCTCATCAGGTGCCCCTATCTGCCCGGTCACCGGTGTTGGCTCTGCACGACAGTGCACTCTGTGTGCAGGCTCATCATATGCTGATGGCATGCAGGGACGGGGCGAACCGAACTGCAAGCTGCGCGCCTGCAGCTTGCGATGGGTTGCCACTGTAGACGCCGCTCGGCGGGTCGATCAGGGGAGCGGTCTGTGTCTCGCGGACCCTTGGTATTTACGACTAGGTCAGGTCTTAGAATCACAAATGTGATATTCAGTTGGCCGACTTTGGGGCCGCGAATGGCATTCACCATGATTCGATTGTTCCACTCACATACTGCACTACCCACGAAGTGGTAGTGCAGAGCCATAGAGAACTGTGGGTGGGTCTGATGAAGGATATGGTCTCGAGTGAATTCCACATACAGACAGACGTAGGCAGACAAATCGGCAGACATACCTATAGTCAGTCAGTCGGGCAGAAAGACAGACAGACAGACAGACAGACACACACACACCCAAAAGCCAAAATGGCAGGTTGTCAACGGAGGGTCACTGACTCTGGCACACAGGAGGTCTATAGACACCGTACCCAGTCCTGCGTGACATGAATGCCACTTGCGGCTGATTTTGAACCACTCTTGCTTACACACAGAAAAATATTGACACCGTTAGCGGTGTAATTGCACAGTACATATCTGAGCACTTGAGGAAAGTTAATTTAGTCCCTTCCCCGCTTAAATTACTCGCGCTTCCAAATGAACACCAGGAAGAAGGTAATAGAACACTGTTAGGAGGGTTGGGTGTTTTACTACATGTAGCAAAACACCCAACCCTCCTAACAGTGTTCTATTACCTTCTTCCTGGTGTTCATTTGGAAGCGCGAGTAATTTAAGTTTTATTATTATTATATATTATTATATTTTGTTTTACTACATGTAGCAAAACACCCAACCCTCCTAACAGTGTTCTATTACCTTCTTCCTGGTGTTCATTTGGAAGCGCGAGTAATTTAAGCGGGGAAGGGACTAAATTAACTTTCCTCAAGTGCTCAGATATGTACTGTGCAATTACACCGCTAACGGTGTCAATATTTTTCTGTGTGTATGATTTAAGAGAAGCCAGTGAATTTATCGGCAGATACGGAGAAGGCAGCACCGATTGCTCAATGCGCACGACTGAGAAATAGGGCATTGTTTCAATAGCCAAAGAATAAACCTTGCCAAGCGGGTAACTTTGCTGAACAATATGCATCGGAGTAAAATTGCAAACAAACAGATTCAGTGACTGAAAAAATAACAGGAACTGCGGTATAAAATGGACCATAGAACATGCATCACATGATATTTTCATTTTGCAACCCTCATGGTGACCTGACCTCTGTGACCTGACCTGGAATCCGTGACCTCAAATAGCAGAATATGTGTTTGACGAACATTTCCCCACCGAGGATCTTCAATGAAATGCATTTTACTCGATTTTACAACGCAACTTTTGAAATGTCTGTAAAAGGTGAAAATTCGACATTTCACCTGCCCTGTGACGTCATCGGTTTGACCTAGGTCAATGAAATTGGGTCACAAGGTAGTTCCCTTATAGGGCTACCCAACACCGTTCGCCGCTTGTCGCTATGTTGCGTGGTTCTCGAGATCTTGGGGGGGGGGGGGGCAAATTGCCCCCCCCCAGCAGGGCGCGTTGCTCGGCAGACCCCAGCGGGGCGCGGGTTAACCCTCGCGGGCCGGGGGGGGGGGCGTTTTCCCCCTGGCGAATATTTACGATAGCTAGCTCCCAAACGCTAAGGGATAGGAAGCGAAACTTTCAGTACCTTTTTCCCATCAATTTGACATCTTCTGAAGTAAAAAATTTGGACCTCGCCCCTTGATGACGTTGCAGGGTCGATTTTTCTAGACCCCTGCACGGCAAACTTCGGCGTCACAGACGCGAGCATCAAATAACTGCTAAAATAGAGTTTTAGAGATAAAGACAAATTACGAGCACGCTTGTGTAGCGTTTGAACTAGAGAAAAAAGAAAAAAATATTTTTTTTGTGACTCAGAGGTCAGGTCAACGACTCCGAAATGTGGATTTAGCTGTTCGCAAATAACTTCGACAAAAATGGCCCTAGAGCTACGGCAGTGGTACCATCGCATTGGCCTTGTCAAGCAGCGTCGAATGATATATATTTTGTTTTGAAAAGGTCAAGTTTTATGTTGACCTCATGTGACCTCGAATGGCCTTTGGCTGACCTTTACACATGAAAGGTCGTTTATGATGGATTCGTACCCGATGACCACGAATGTGGCATCTATTTTCCTCTAATCCTTCATTTAGAGCCTCCGGATGGCAACATTGTCTTATTCATCATTACTAACTTGAATCAGTGAAATAGCCTCTAGCAAGGATACTCTTCTGTGACCTTGACCCTTGAGAAGCATTGTATCGTAAGATGAACCACAAATAGGGGCCCGATAAGCCTCAAAACATTTCAAAACATCTTGGAAATTAACACACAAGATGTACGAAAAAGTGCAAAGTTTGATGTCGATTTTGAGCATGACCTTGAATTTGACCTCCAATTTTCAGCACATTTACGGAATCATCATACTCTCTTCTTTCGTTTGACACCCAATTTTGCCGATTTTATGCATCCTGCCGTTCTCTAGAGAAATTTTAGGTGCTTTAGAAACATCTCGTAAGGACCTTTCGATTGGTATCGCTTTTGTTTCCGTAGCTCCCTTATTTACGGAGTTAGAAAGGGGGCTAAAACGTCCCCCCGGGCTGCGGTGGTTGGGATTATCCCCCGGGCCCGGCCGGGTTAATGTAGTGCCAGTTTTGAGTCAAAAGTCATTGCAGAAAAAAAAATCCTGTGAAGACGTCAGTTTTAAGTGTTTTTACCCGATGGGGACTACATCGTTGATGTTAAGTTCAAATCTATAAAGGCAATTTATTGAAATAACGTTAACCCTCGCCCCGTTGGGGGGGGGCCATTTTGGCCCCCCCCTGTGGTTTTTCCTGAATAGCAAGAAAACGGCGGCGCGCAGCGCCGCCAAATTTTCAGTACCTTTCCGGGCATCAATTTGACACCTTCACACCAAATTTCAAGTCTTAGGTCACCTTAGGTCAGGAGTTATTGAGGTCAAACTGAGGTCATGTTCGAGCAAAAATGAGCAAAAAACATGCAATCTTGAAACGCTCACCAAATCTACAGTTATCAAGCAATTTCAAAGTTCTTTATATGGTCTAATAGACAAAAAGCGGCGCTACAAAACTGCTATCTCGGATTTTCAAAATTTTGGGTTTTTGACCCAAAAAATTTCAAAAAATTGAATTTTTTAGAAAAACAAAAAAAAAAAAAATCCAAAAATTTTCCGAATTTCGAAAAAAACCGGAATATATGTGATAGTCCCTGCGCTCTTCTATATACATACCAAATTTCAGATCGATATCTTGTTTTTTGGCCAAGTTATAGCGAAAACACTGTTCAAAAATGATGACGTCAAATTTTTGAACTCAATTTTTAGCGATTCTAGACCTCGTACGGCAAAACAAAGACCACCATTGAACTCCCCGTGACGAGCTGCATCGATTCGATACCCATTTTATGCAAAAATATCAACTTTGAAATTTGACCTTATTTGACCTGACCTTGACCTGACCTTGACCTGACCTTGACCAAAACGTGACCTAAGCTGGCCCCAAAGGCTGCCTGACCCACATAATCGCATTTGTCATGTAAAATGGACCATAAAACATGTATCACACGACACTTTCATATTGTGACCCCCCAGTGACCTGACCTCAGTGACCTGACCTGGTATCAGTGACCTCAACTAGCAAAATATGTGTTTGAAGAACATTTCCCCATCGATGATTTTCAATGAAATGCATTTTACTCGATTTTACAACGCATTTCTTGAAATGCCTGTAAACGGTCAAAATTGGACCTTTGACCTGACCTGTGACGTCATCGGTTTGACCTAGGTCAATAAAATTGGGTCACAAGGTAGTTCCCTGATAGGGCTATCCAACACCGTTTGCCGCTTGTCGCTACGTTGCGTGGTTCTCGAGATCTTAGGGGGGGGGGCCAAAATGGCCCCCCCCCCAACTGCCGAGCGTTGCTCGGCAGAGCCCAACGGGGCGCGGGTTAAAAGAGCTATCGAATGCGCTTTTCTGCGATGCTGTAGCTGTAGTCATTCCCGAATTATACGCCTATTGGTTAAAAAGTGTTGAAAGGGGCAAAATATGACATTTGATGATTTCTGGTGAACCGACACTTGACGAAGGGACTGCTGTACTTTCTTCCTAATTTGTGTTGCTCTTTCGAATGGCGCTTACTGCGTATCGATACGTGGCCTAGGAGCCGAGTTAGAGGGTGAGTAACGTACATGCACGATCTTGCGCGACATTTATCAAAACGCAAATAAATGTATCTGTGTGTGATATCAGGTTGCCCGTGCGCAGTTGTTCAATGTCCGTACAGGGGCTAGTAAAGCTGGGCTCGATTGGAGTAGGTCAGCTAGCGGAGAGCTGAACACAAGGCTCAGTTACTACGAGATTACCGTGACACTTTGGAACGTTGTTGCAGCTAAGAGAGAACCTATGTTGAATGAGGTCTGCTGCTTTGGGCCGGATTACAAGGCCCGGTAAGTTTTCTTGTGTGTAACGTCTATAG